GATCATTTACAACCTACTACATGCACACGTTAACCCTTATACAGGTGTTTTAATCCTGTGGCTTACGTTTTACGGTAGTTTGGTGTCCTAACCCAGTATCGTAAAAGCACTTTGTTTTTTAAACTTTTTTTACGAAATGACGTTTGTCGTGTATTATAAATAAGTCTCCAAGGGGATTTAGTTGTCTTGGCGACATAATACACACGAAATCCTTCAGCAGGATTATTTCGAGGTGATCTGCTATCCCTCCCCCACAAACCGGTAAACCCAAACCCTGATACGTCCCCAGATGAGGCCTCGGTAGAACGGGATTGTAAATGCATTTAAATTTGATCAATTCACTTTCAACGACCAGTGGAAGTCCTTAGATGACGGAGTGGATTTACTTTTACTCCATTTACGAGAGAATTAACCTAGATTGACTTCCTACTCAAAGTGTTTATCCTGTAGTCAAAGTGTTTGAGGAATGGTGCGACCGTGTAAAGAGATATTTTTTATGAAATATATATTGTTAGGTAGTTGGACATGTGACAAAAAACTATCAATGGTTTGTAATTGTCGACTTCCGAACACAGTACCGGTAAACCAAAATTAGTAGTTAACTATTTTTTATAAAAGTGTTTATTTACACCAATAATAACTCTATCGAAAAACCATGATTTTATATCATGTTTGGTATTAAATTAAAACAATATAACTCCCTACGAACTCTTGAATCCATTAAATTAATAATTTTACACATGTTCGAAATTAATTTAAGATAATGTCATGGATAACAGGAGGTGTTTATAGCATTAAATGAGCAGGTTAAAACTGTTTAATAATGTTTTACCAGGCTGTGGCAATGTTTAAGGTTACTTGTATAGTAAACAAGTAATACAGTCAAAGTTCCTGTGATCCTTTAGTGTGGACATTTTGACCTAATGGATTTCTTCTCCAACAAGGACAAACTTGTGCCACACTATAGCCTTGTAGTGCAGTTCTTTAGTAGTAATACTCATGGCCGTACTAACTACTATCGATCCGGGACCCGCATAGTGATACCCTTAGTAGTAATGCCCGTAAACAATTATAACTATTTCCTACTGTTCAACGGATATAAAGCAACTTAAAAACATTTCGATTAGTTGAAAGCTTTTGACATCCTTGGAAATACAGTAGACTTCTCTGTATGCTGGCCAAAAGTCCACAAAAATAATTCAAATTCGTCACTTGTTAAAAAATATGTGAGCAATGATTTTCCTATTTGATATTGGGAATGTATTCAAATAAAGTAAAATAGGCCATGGACAACCAAATTAATTATCATTTGAAAAGTTGATCAAACTATCGTTTTACTAATCATTCCATTGCCCATGGAGTTTTTACCATGTATATATCTTTTTACCATATATATATATATTGTTATTGTGTGTATTTAATAATCATTATAGTTTGCACAAACAGTAATTCTATACCACTTCAACCACAACGAATCATTCCGTTCTATTCACTAGCTATGAAATATCATCAACGTTTGCACTAGAGGGATCAATATTTGTGAACATTTTCATTTGTTCATAGATTGAAGTGATGTGTTAATACATGAGTGTGAGTATAGTAGCATGAGTTCACAACTCTCCGCCGCATTGAGATGTTACAATATATGAGAATAACAATTCATTATCAATTGATTGTTATTTACAGATTGACTAAGACCCCGCAAAATATGTCCTCTGACAATTAGTGTGTTTTTGATATAATTTGAAAACAGTTTGATCTATAGTTGAAATACTAGGTATTGTTTCTGTAAGATGGTGTGGATGTTAGACCTGCGTTCTATTTTTCATCTTTGACTCAATGTAGTACTTATGGATATTTTAGCGGTGTTGTCCAAGTGTTAATCACATCCAAGTTCCGTTTTGTCCAAAAACTTATGCTATGATTCATTTGTCAGGTCTACAAAAGCTATTGGATGTTTATTGTAGCCTACCTTCATGATGTTGTATTTGTTTCTATACACACTTCCTTTTATCATAGATTAAAGAGTAGGTCTACTCATTGGTCTATGATTCTTTCAATCGTCAAACACTGCTAGTCTTTAGCCCTTCTACAGTTAGGTGATAAATGTATGTTTCAATATGTCTACTGAGACAGTAAATTAGAGCGGTTAAGAATACAACAGACACACGAAGATGTCTGTATCTTATACCTTTATCTGTACCTATACTTACTATTTTGAAATTTTAAAGTTAAACTTTGAGAAAAGGGTATTCCATAAGACTTTTGAAATTGGACACTTGAAATTATAACTTTAGAAAGTCTATATTCCGAATACAAGAAGCCATATTAAAAGAAACCCATAAAACAAAAATAAAGGCTTTCCCATTGGAAACATTAAAGTTGGTTGCCATTTTGGACAATGGAGATAATTTTTCAATTTTCCAACAACTAATTTTCATTAGACTACGAATGCAAAAAGGAGGTACTCCCCCTTTAAACTCCCGTGTAAAATTGCTAGTTTCCTTGTGTCAATGCGAGCTGGAGCCAACATGGAAGTCGTAGAAAGGTGAAACGTGTCTCATTGGAATCCGTTAAACTTGAAACTTTGAGGAGCTGTGAAAGGTTCTGGAACAGTTAAATCTGAAACTTATGAGATTTAATTAAAATTTTAACAGTTATCAAATTACTTTCCCGGTGTACTTGTGGGGAAGACGGGTGGATCTTAAATTGTGCACTATACCACTTCAAAGGTACCTCTTATCAGAATCTCAGACTGCTACCGATTTTATGATATGCACTGTAAGATTGGTCTATTATTCTCCTCCAGAATGTTTTAAGTCATAATCAGTGATATCCACTCATTTTTTTTTCCAACGCCAGTGACATTTCACAAGAGAGTCACAAGAGAAAAATGTTTAGGGGATGTGCCGGGGATGGAACCCGTCTCTCCCGCATCGAAGTCCGAGACGCTAACCACTAGTCTAGCAACACATCAAACTGTAGAAAATCATTGTTGGTGATGGTGAGTTAATGTTGATCAAATGTTTATTGCGGACGTGTTAGCCCACTAAGGCTGTACTAGGACCCAATTCATTTGAGCCTTGTTGTTGTTTCGTGATGTTTCAGTCCAGGGAGCCGAAAACCCTAGGGACTGAGGCTGTTCTAGGAGCATATGTCCTCTTCATGAATGTCCTTCAACCAGAAGTGCCCTAGTAGGTTGGTCTGTCGAACACGGGTGATTACGGAGAATATGGAGCTCCAAAGGTATAGTTTAGTTTATTTATTTTAAACACAATCTGACGATCCTCATACATTTTCATTTTGGGAAAGTGAATTGATTCTATTCTAAATACAGAATAAATAGTATAATAATTAGTAGTAGTATTGACATTAATTACAGCCAGATTACGAAATGTTGTAAGCCACAGGCATGCAAGTTAAAGTACAGAAATATTTTCTCTCGTATTTCGTTTAGTGAGTTGCTAGTCAAAGTTTGTGTACATTCAAATGAATGCATTTTTCGTAGTTTTGATGGTAAATGTTAACATGTTAAACGAGGTAACAATTTAGACATGTATAGAAAAGCTATCCTCTAAACTAAATCATATCCTAGTGCAGACCATTCTCTGCACTTGTAATCCATTATATTGATAGATATCCTGATGAAGGATCCATAAAAATCGTGATTTAGTTCTACACAAAATCTCTCTATATATAAACGAAACATGTGGTAACATTATTTTTAAATTGCGTAAGAAGAAATCATTTCATGATGCTTTAAACTAAATATGTCTCAATGCAGTTCGTGAGGAGTTTCTGAGGAAAAAACTATTTGATACAATTTAATAATGTTATTAAAAGAATTAAACTTGTATCATTCTGTCTCCACTTGAAAAAAGTGGCATGTCTAAATTGTATATGAATAATCAATCATTCGAATGATTATCATCACGAAGATTTTAGTATTCATTTTTTCCAATTTTGCCTTGGTTAAAAAAATATTTTTTTATATTCAAATCAGTTTAAAAATACGTTCAATCCAGTTTTAATGACGTTCGATCGTTTGAAAGGTTACCACTGTCTTTCACAAACGTTCCTATTGTGCCATTGTAAAAATTGTTGTTTCCTTTCAAGATTTTCTGTTCCTTGTTTTGACTACCATACAGTTATCTGTGTTTTTGTTGTTATTTTTTTAGCTTTGATTAGGTTTATATTCCAGATCTTCTAACATTCAGGTATCTCTACATGAAGATGAGTTCAGATTTTCAATCCAGAAAATCTCAAAGAATCACTAATAGTCACGGAAAATGTTCGTAATAATCCCTCTTATAATATAAACCACAAATACTAGAACATACACGGTATGGATCATAAACAAATGATGTTATTAGTCCGAAAGTAAACAGTATTTAACATTGCTTAAATGGAACTGTCTAAACCATAATAGTATAGGATTCGGGCCAGTTACGTAATTTGTTTATGTTTATGATCCATACCGATATCAGTTCTAGTATTCATCATATAACAATACTATTACGATTGTAAACGTATTACAGTACCACCTAAAATAAGCTCAAACAAAAGCCAAGTTGTGTGGAATGCTTTTTTATACTGTAGGTATATTTTAACAAAATTTGAAGAATTCATATTTTTTAATCCAGGCTTTTGGAATTCAACCAAAACAGGAATTAGTTGTACTCTTCGCGTTCTAAACAAACTTAAGGTACCACTGGGTTACTGGTGATACATCTTTGGGGGGTGGATCTAAGTGTCAAACATATTTTATTGTGAATCTGTTTGAATAAAACTTAATAAAGCAACTACTGTATGAATTTGCTTTGTCTAAAGGCTTACTTCAACGTAATTATGGAATATATGCAATAAATCATAATTGCACTGAAGTGTGTGCTATGATTATCCACAGGGCAACTAAAAGCTATAATTATAGATTGTGTGTTGGGTTCTCATGAGAAATGTACACAAACATGTAAACTATTTTATAAAACATGTATTGAGAAAACATATGTTTGTTTATAAAACTATAAATAAAACGAATATTTTGGAATTGAATGTGTTCAAGGTAACCCGTACGTCAACACAATATTGCACTGGAGGTACATGCGACTAAATGGGACTCAAGTCAAATCGATACGTAATAATTAAGTATTTATTATTACAATAGAGACAGGCTTACTGAAGAAAAATTACCTAACTAAAATGCCTGGGAGCATATTTACAACAATAATTTTAGTTACAACCTTACACTAACAGTCAGTCCACTACTTGTACAGTCGCGTAAGCACTAAAAGTCACTTTTTTCGGTTCAAGGTTTTCATTACAATTTCTCTTTTTGATGACGGATTTCAGGTTGGTTGTGCTTTTTGAGGTGGTAGACACTTTGAGAGAAGGCTCTAAATAAGTGTAGAACTGGACGGTGGAGAGATCCCCGCTGCTGTTCCTTCTACGAGAAAGGGTCCCAACACAAGAGTTGTTAATGTTGGCGATCTCCTTCAGTTTACCAAACACTTTGTTGGACAGAGGCTTGGGGTGAAGATTGTCTATGTATCGGTAGACCAGAGGCCTCGCCGGTGGACTGGTGGTTCTTCTGCCAGGACCTCCCCCACTACTACGACTGCGGCGTTGGTAACCCTTGGAACCCCCATCTCGGCTACGGTAGTCTGTCTCGTCCTCTCTAGTTCTTCGTCCTCTCTTGCTCGAGACTGACGTCACCGGTGACGGTAAGCTCCAGGCAGGGTACGACAGCATCTGCCCGGAAGGTCTCGACTCGCTGAACAGTCGATGGCTTGGCCTGGGTGTAGTAGAGAACTGCGAAGGAGACTGTTGCTGTTGGTCCACGTTCACTCTGATAAACTGGCCTCTAACTACCTTCTCTTGGCTACTTGACTGTTTCGGTGGCTCAGGAGCTGGAGATTTTTTTAAGATACTTTCGTTTTCACTCGGCTTTTCTTCTTTTTTCGTCAATTGCTTCGCTTTCGCGTTATTCTTTATGTATTTACCTCGCTGAGGTCTCTTAGGAGGAACGTCTTGATTGACTTGCGGGTCAGTTTTATTCTCACCATTCTCATCTTTCGGTTCGGCTATCAGAGGGTTTGTCGTTTTTCGCAAGGTTTTCGAGTTTGACTCTGGACTAGATTCTATATCAGCGCAAATTACTCCGTCGATTTCTCCCGAGCTGGAAGACGTCTCGGTGAAAGAGGGACTAGGGCTGTGGGGAACGACGATCGATGAGGACATAAACAAGTTCCCCTCGTCCGGTGTGCTGATGCTGATGATGCTGGATGAGCCGGAGTACTCGTCTGTAGTCGTCACGCTGCCGAAGTAGTTGCCGGTCGCAGCTTTGGACACTTCTATGTGGGTTACACCGTCCCCGTCTGTCCGTTGGACTAAATTATACTTCTTATTAGCATCAGAGGATGAAAAATCTTCTTTGATAATGGAAGGAGTCTTGTCAGCTACGTGATGAAGGGAGGTTTTGAAAAAAGTCGAATTTGCTGGAGAAGTCGTCATGGAATTTTGTAAAACGTCAAATACATTTCTGTAAAGCGTTCCCGAGGAATTAGAAGATTCTTTTCTTTTGTGAGGATATCGGAATTGAAGGTCCATTTTCAATCTGCGGCTAAATTCTTTATAGCTCGCACACACTTCCCTTACGCTCTGTACACTTTTACACTGAAATATAACGGCTTCTAGTCCAGTCGAGGATTGTCCGTCTTCTTTAATAGATAAAGATTTCTTTCTAATAACCAACACAAGGACTTTAGGGTACCCTGCGTCCGTATGGCAGAAGGCGACATCGCTGTACGCGTACAGTTCTCTCGAGGGTGAGGATTCGTCAGGGGAACATTTTCTCGGTTTCGCGTGCAGTGCAGGGGGGTGGGACGGAGGTGATGGGAGAGGATGGACAGGGTTCAGAGAGTTTTCAGCATCGTCGTTGTCCGACGCGCCGCTACTGTTGGCGCTGTCAGTGGCCACGGAGGGCTCCGCGGACCCTGAGCTCGCCGGACCCGAGATTTTGAGCACATGGTCCTCCACGAAACAGTAGGTCGAAGAGTTGCTGTCCGATGAGGTCTGAGAGACAGCGTCATCGTCGGACTCGAACCCTTCGTCTTCATGTCGCTTCGCTGGTCGGATCTCTATGCCGTCCCTAGAGCAGCGTAGCCGGCATTTGGTGCCGAGGGTCCCCGGACGACCGGGAGCGGTGACCAAGCGGATCTGTCCTGCTAGACTGTCCGCGTTGGCCGTCCCTTTCACCGGTTCTCTGCCCAGCAGTACGGCTTCGCAGGAGCACTCACTCATTTCTCATGCTGGATACCAGGTTGAACCCTGTAACATAAGAATGACTTTTATTAGTTATGATATCAAATAAATGTTATTTTTCAACTATTATAATGATTAGGTGAAACAGAAACTTTAGTTGTATTTTCCATAATAGCATAGCCATTGATAAAACGCTTATAATCTGTATTAAAAATTGTATTTGTTGTTGTAACCTAAATCCAGAACTTAAGTTACATTTAACCTTGAACAACAAAGTAGACAGGTTTTGGTTTTGGTGTACCTCGACAGTAGTGGGAGCGATACGGGATACTACGAGTCAAAGAGATCTACTACAGTAATATAATATATGTGGTAGCTATTTCAGAGGCTATACCGCCGTCGTTCCAATGGCAGCCAGTGCAACTAGTCAAAATTGGTATAGATATCAATGCGCGGTCAGAATATATTGATTTACTGAGGAAGTTTAATGCAAACTTTTTTTAAGCTATCTATCGCAGCATAGTAAAAATATTTAGTTCTGTGTCAAGTAAATATCACATTCTTGCTGTACGATAAATAAAACGAAGGCTTGATTATTTAAGATGTATAGTTTCTACAGGTGTCGGACGAAAACAATTGTCTAAAATTCCGTAAAGGACCAGCGTCAAATTGTATCTGACGGTTCTAAACACACTAAACCAACAGCTCTAATAGGCAACTGAATAAGGACTCTGTCTTTTACACTAGAGGATTTCTACGTTGGGAATCTCCAGTCTTAAACAGCACTTAACATAATTGATACTTGATGATGTTTGTATTTCCATTGGTATCGTCGGCTGTCCCTGACCCCGAGCCTAGTGGCCGTTTGCTAGAACTGGAACTGGTTTTTGCGATGGGCGATGGGAGTGGTAGAGAAGTCTCCCATCCGAAACCCGCACTGCCTCTTGTGTTACATTCCCACGACTGTACAAGTACAAGTCACCTTCACTTTTGTAATAACAAGAGACAAAAACTATGTAATAACACCTTTAATAGCATACACATCAAAAGTTTTCAATTCTGGTCTTATGAAGCATCATGTTTTGAGGAGATAATGTCAAATGTTGACGAAGAGATTTAACTTTAAGTTGAGAATGTAGGTCGTTCATTTGTTTTTTTGTGGTTCTGTGATTCACATTTGCGATGTTCATAAACAGTTGAGGAAAGTTACACCGATCTGTGTTGTATCTTTGAACAGCGAATCAGACTACGAGTTAATCTCAGTGATAAATCAATAAGGTTGAAGGATTTTGAACAAGATATTTATATTCCAGTCATAAACAAATCTTATTTACTGATAACTGTTCTTGATAAGTATGAATGAAGCTACATTTTGAATTGTAACAATATTTTGTGAAAAAATAAAGCTCGAAACACCTTTTAAAATGTATACATGAGGACACTACTTTTGTTACATTTTGTTGTTACCATTTTGTTTTTCCCTTTGTCTAGATAGAATTGCCTTAATTACGAGAGAAATGGAAGATCGAAGAATAGAACAAGCCCATGTCGAAAGGATATCATCGCCACATATATGATATGAATAATACTTTAACTACACAGAAACAGGCTGGAAAGTTGCCTTTTACCGTGCCAAAGCACGGAAAATAATGTTATGTACTTTAACCGTGCACTTAGTCAGCTGATGAAATAAACAGTTAACTGCGACGATCTATTTTATTTTCTGTTATTTAAAAATAATTTATGTTATGTCCTAAATAAATTGTGTCATGCATTTAAAAACTATTCTATGTATTACGATGTAAAGTATCATACGTTACTCGCCCGGTAAGCTTTAAAGTACTCGCACGGTAAAACACCACTTACCGGGCTAGTAACGTAATATACTATTACAAGTTCGTTTTAAAATGGGATTGTCAGCGAAATTTGACTCTAAATTGCTTAAACTGTTAAAAACAACTAATTCCAGTGATAACTTTTGAGTGAAACGTCCTAAAAAAAAGTAACAATGCTAAAATGCTCTGTTCAGTTTACTTAGTAGAAATTCAAATGGGCAGTCCAATGCAAGTATAGTATTTCTTATTTAAACCATTCTTACAAACTGTGGACTTCCATACTTCCAGTTTAATGTTTTCGCTATCAATACTAGATGTATAATTCAATAAGTGGTTTGAGAGGATACTCTACGGAAACCTTTAATTTAACAAGATATAGTATTTTTCACAACTGAGTTAAATCCATAAAAAGGCGCATGTTTTAATTTGTACCAGTCACTATTTTATCTTTTAATCTTAAAGCATCGCGATTAGTTCTGAAAGACCCAAAGAGCTAAAATAAAATTGTAAATAAAACATCCAAAATCCCTTAGAAATTAGCTTTTTACTAATATTATATTGATACGCAAGACGGTATAATAAAAGGTAAAAGTTTTTACCATATTTTATACACGTATATTCATCAAGAAACTATACTATAACCAATAATACTTTATGGCTGTGAAGTTTGGGTATTAACAAAGTATTCAGAAAGAAAACTCATCACTTTTAAAGACAAGGCAATAAGAAAACTATTAGAACCTATTTATGAAGCAGGAGTGTGGAGGATAAAAAAATAGAGAACTGAGAGAGATTTATCTTGAGCCAGACATAATTTAAATAATAAAAAGTAAACACCGAGTTGGCTAAGTCATGTATGAAGAAGGGGTAACTTCAGCTTTATAAAACTGACTTATAATGAAGACCCAATGGTAGAAGACCTTTAGGAAGACCAAGGCTGCGGTGGAGAGACCAAGTGCTGAAGGATGTAAGAAGATTGGGAGCAAGAGAGGAAAGTACAGAATATGGAGGAATCAGAAGAATGGAGGCGGATTGTTGGCGAAGCTAAAAATCATCTTGGGTTTACATGGCCACCGGAGTAAATTTACGTAAAGAAAATCAGTACGGGGGTAAGCTCAAAATAATAAGATAGCCTTTTCACTTATAATTTAGTGCTACATTAATATCTCAAAACATGGTTAAGACTGCTTGGTAGTTATTTAATTGACCATCTTAATAAATTTAAAATACTTTATGTTTGAGTCCTGGTAGTTGCAGGTGACTTAATTATTAGTACTCTGTCGTAAAAACTGCAATAATCCATTGAAAAACGTAAATATTTTGTTTAAAAATCTCACAACCATGTTACCAACTATAAGTATGTATTTAAGAATTCAGAAAGGTGTATTGATCCAGCAATTGATACATGTCTCAATAACATTCTTTCTTACATTGTGTTACCACAAAAGTGCATAACAGTACAGCTCCATTACCAACTGTAGAAAGGCTTGGTCTTTGACTGGATTTGGAAAATCACCCAGTGATCAATGACAGGCGACAAGGTCCAAATTACATGATAATGTAACAATCATACCTCACACGGCATTGAGTAAAGCATGCATTATCGCATGATCGCCCTATGTCACTGGCCATAGCGAGCATAGCCTTGACTCCGATATACGTCTCAAACCCACCATTAAAGTAAATTGCACGCCTTACCGTTAATGCGCCTGGTTGTACATCTGGAAATGGCTGGAGAAATTGTGATTAGTACGTTCAGAAATGTTCACTATTACTGGAATCGAATAGTTTTCGGATTTAGGAAACTGTAAATGAATTTGAGGTAAAATGTGATTTTCTTCGAATGTTATAGAGCGAATCCAATGGATCTCGATTATGTAGCGAAAAAATGAAATTAATGGATATACTTTTTATGGTACAATTTGAAAATTATTACTGAGAAAATTGTCTTACTTTTTTATCGTCGGGAAAATTTAATATCCGTAACACATTAAAAGTCTGATTTTGTTAAGGATGTACATATGCAAATAGCTGGAGGAAGTATTTACATGACCAATATTTTTCATTTTTCCTATACGTTTAGAATATTTCACTAGCTGGAATCGAATAATTTTCAGATTTTAGAAACCCTACATGTATTTAAAGTTACTCTAGTTTTGGTCAAGTTTTGAATGAATAGATTTCTATGAATAAAGTGTCCACAAAATTAGTTACAATTAAATAATATACCTGTTATTAAATAAAATAAATTCGTTAACAATTACTGAAAAGAACGAGAGTTCTATGTCCTTTTAGTTAGTCTAACTAGGCTACTTCTATAATGTATTTTTAGGAATCATAGGTAATGTTTGATCGCCGTGACATTCAATTTAATATCAGGAACCAAAACGACAGTAATCATGTGGTATTGTGAAGCTTAGTGAATATTCTGTTGGCAATGTCACAATTGTATTTCAAGTTTCACATTGCAGGAGAATCAGTTATAGGCGTGTAAACTGTGAACGCTGTTTAACCAAGTTTAGGATAACAGTGTCAACACCTAAGCCGGCCTACGTAATAGTAAATGTAAAATTGGCGAATCTCTTTCAAAGGTATTTTTTAATTGATCAATTTTTATCAACCAAGCAAGGCGTTAAGTCTCGCAATTAATGACATGACATGAACTGACGTTTGAAAAATCAATTAGGATTTAATATATTAATAATTAATTCCCCTCTATGTTTTTATGAAATCTTTTATTTATGTCAACATTATTTCTTTAAGTAGTCTAGAATTATAAGAATTCTCAGTACCGGTATTTATGTTTAAAACAGTAGAAATATATTTCTCGATAAGTACTAGGCGAAGAGTGGTTTTAAATAGAAAGGTTTTACAAGTAAATGAAACATCTTAGTGCAAAATATTGTAAGGTATGATGTAGGCCTACTACCATTTTGAAACTTTTTTAGAAACGTGAGAGCTTCAGAATCTATTGAGAAAATGTACATATTAAAATTGAAAAAAAATTTAAATGTGTCTAATTTCCTTTCCGCTACCTTGTACATAATTTTATACCAGTTTTTTGAAGCTTATAAAGAGACTAGTTTTGGTAAACCGTTTAGAAATTCAGTAAAGTTCCGGTTTGTATACCACACAGCCATTTGATCAGTTCTAGTATAAATGCATCATGCATTTATTGTTTGAAACACATACAACAAAAAGTGATCAGTTCGATAGTTCTCGGAGCGACCG